CGCCCAATTTAAATATGGAACGTTTAAAATTTGCATATTATCAGGAATAAGGGCTTTCTCCTCGCCCTTAAAAATTTTATCCACACCCCGTTTTGTCTCCGAGCCTACATTAGCTGAGAAAACGGCTTTGAAACTTTCCAGCATTAATTCGGCAATAGGTCCCTGCGATTCTATAAGCCGCTCCTCAATAGTGGTATTCACCGAATTGAGCAAGTGGCCTGGCACTCTGCCAGACTGTTAGGATACTTGCTCACTTTGTTGAATTCCACTAATGTAATCAAAAATAAATTTTGTGTTTGTTTCTTAAAATGTCATACTCATGTAAAGCAAAAAAGCCACATTCTCCGCCCTTTGAAGCTTTGTCAGCGGCGATCGTTGCCCTGCAAACCATATGGTTGCTTAAAACGAATATATTATCCAATGTTGGAGCTAGACAAGGGCAAGAAGGCAAAAACATGCCCTTTTGCATGGTTGACTGTAACATCAATAATATTTTGCACTGTGGAAAGCCAACATTTTTGGGAGAAACGAAATCACCATTAATGTTTGCTTAAGTATTTCACTACTACACACTGCGATTTTCAATACATACTAATTTTCTGGGCATTTAATTTTAACTATTAAAAAAAAAACACAAAATTGAAATGCTATAATCACTTATTTTAAAGGTAGAAAAGGCAAATATCTTAAAAACAGCAAAAAAAGGCAAACATCAAATGTATATATTATATGGAATCAGGGAAAGCACTTTCCATAAAATCCGTTCCCTGATTATAAAACATAGCCAAACTTGCCCATAAATAAGTTAGATGTATGACCTTTCTTAAAAAATAAAAATGACAAATTCGACAACGAGAGGAGATGACGAAATAAATGGAACGGTATCTTAAAGCTTTTTAGATGGGGAACTGAGGAAAATAGTCTCGTTGACATTTAAATGACCTCAAAAACTACCAGGATTTAAATCCTTTTCTTTTTAACCAACTTCCTAAAAAGGAGGAGGTTATCAGTTCGTCGGAATATTTTTTTTTGTATGTATGTTGCCGCATAACTTTGGACCACGTCAACTGATTTCGATAAATCTTTTTGCATCGGAAAGGTAGTGTCTCAGAGGTGGGCCCATAGTAATCTGGTTTAGATCCGATCATTGGATCATGAAATATATATATATATTTTTTAAGTCTTTTTTTTTTGCTAAAAATTACTTGTTTTGTTTTAAAACCAGTATGCAATTAACTTTTTAAAAATTTCAGATTCATATTTTTGCTGTTTTTGCGTCAATGAATCCATTACTATGGTCGCAGGAACAGAAAATGGTTAAGTTGTTTTTAAAAGGTAAATTTCCAGCTGTTTTTAGGTAACAAAATACAAAAATCAAAAATTTCACTTTTGAAGGCCATTTTAAACGTCTGATTGAATGAAAAATTACCTCGACTTCCAAACCAACTTTAAAAAGTAAAATTCTTAAATTTTTTCTGTTTTTGGCCTAAAAACAGCATACAATGAACTTAAAAAAAAGAAATTACGTTTTTTGGTTACTGCGACCATGGAAATGGATTCCTTCATAGAGTGCGACCGATTAATCAGCATCGCCCATTTTTGGCCGATTCTTTTTACTGTTTCCGCACTTCATTTCATGTTATTTATTTTTTAACCGACTTCAAAAAAGGGGATGGTTAACAGTTCGTCGGAATATTTTTTTTTATGTATGTTACCACATTGGACCACGTCAACCGATTTCGATAATTCTTTTTCTATCGGAAAGGTAATGTCAAAGGTGGATCCATAGTAATTTGGTTTAGATTCGATCATTGGATCACGAAAAAATTAACGGTACTCCTAAATGTTTATATGAGAATTGAAGTCGGTTGTGTTTTTGCTTAAAAATTACTTGTTACTTTTTTAATTCCCTTAAAGTTTTGAATATTAATGCATCTGAATCCTCTCATAAATGTGTTCCATGTTTCGTTTTTGTGATATATTACGGAGGCGAGAATCTAAGTAGGGAAGACACATTTTAGCAAGTTTTCACTTGTATTTTTCTTAGCAAATCAAAATTTCAAACTTTGTACAACATTTATAAAAATTCGGCGAATTTCAACAAATGTTCATCAAAATATTAAACTGTTTATCAGATTTTTTTGAATTTTTTTGAGAACGGAGTTTTTTAGATTTTAATACCTATAATAAAGTGCAAGTTTGAACTAGCTAGGACTTATCGTTGATTTTTGACAATTTTTTGTTCACGCATTTTCTTTCATACAAAGTATTTTCGACGATTTTCAGCAACACCTTCCACAAAAAATTGCCAAAAATCAACGGCAAGTCCTAGCTACTTAGAATTTTGATTTCGTTATAATAAAATTGAATGGGCTACAAGACTGCATACTAGAATGTTTCTAGAAAATGTAGTTAAAAAGCTGTTCAATTTTGCTAGTTTTTGCACAAAGTTTGAAATTTTTACTTACATGTTTTTTGTTAGATAACGAGCTACACTTTCATAAAAAAATAATAAACACTAAATAAACGAAAGGCAAATAGCCAAAGAATGCTAAAATGTCGTCACTGTATGTATTCTTACGATTATCCTGGAATTAATCGCTGAATTCATAAATCCTTCAGGTTCTGTTCATTAAATTGTTAAATTGTTTACGTTACAACAATATTTTCATTACTGTTTATTAACAAATTGTATTCAATACAACAGTTATAGTCCAGCGGAAGCTGCATTTTTTACTTTTTTTACGAATGAGCTATTTATTTTACATTCAATAAGAAAAAGACTAGGGAACAAAGATTGCAATGCTATTTATGCATAATCGATATACTGCTTTAGCCTTGATAATATTTTACCATTTTAATATTTTTTGTTTGTTAGAGCGTGTGTGAATCGGTTAAAAAGTTCGCGGCGAGTAAAGTGAAATTTTTTACAAATGTATAGAAATTTTTGATAATCGCAAGATTGTTGATGTAAATCATTTTTCGTTAAATCTAAGCAAAAACAATAAATATTAGGAAATAGAGTAGGGCTGCCATAAGTCCCCGTTTCCAGGCACATGTCCTCGTTTCGGACCCTTTGTCCCCGTTTACAACCGAAATGTCCCCGTTTAATGCTTGGGACAACAAAATTTTATTTAATTTTGTAAATTTTAATTGGTTGGAGGAAAATTATTTAGTCTTATCGTGAGTTTCGCCCGAATATTTTTCATCCACCCGTAAGGAATACGCGTTCGAAAGTGAACAATTTCGTGCGAAAATAAAACTCATGATAAGGTTGATTGCCTTTCCTAGTTATATATTAGAAACAAGTAGACCGGATATATCATTTCAATCGATAGTTGAAAAAGTGTCATCTTTAGTAGTCAGTTGTAATTATCGTAAAATTGTGTTCTCAAGAAAGAAAAACCATTCTGTTTACTTGCATGGCTGCGTTGCTGATCAAAATTAAAGTTTACGTATACGCGAAAAGAGACCCTGTAACATGTAATATGAGTTAGTTATACCATGTTCTTTGAAAACGAGTTTTGGGATTGTGGGCTGAAGGCTGTTCACACCGGCTGTTAGTGTTCTCGTTGACATTTCTTTCGTGAGTTTTCAAGTACATAGTTTTCAGCGAAAACTGGTTTTCATTTGATAGATTTTACGTGGACGAAAACACGAGTTTTAGGCCGAATACCAGTTTTAGCAAAGTTTTCGATGTCGGTCAGAACATGGTATTACGTAAAAGTGTGTTAAAATAGTTCTTGTTTTGTTTTCTTCCACTTACGCTAAGAAATATAAACACATACGTTCCTGAACTGAACACAAATTTTACTTTGACCTCTAGTGGTTATTGTTTTGTTTGTTTGTATAAACATACTTTAAAACGTAGAAATGTTCTTATGACATACTTATGTATATAATAAAATACTTTATGTGTATAAATACGTTCATTCAGTGAAAATAAAATGTTTGTTTGATCTAAATTGATTATGGTTTATGCAATTCCGTTTTTGTATGTATTACAACAGAGCATCAACTAAGTTTTCCTCTACAATTGAACGAGACTATAAGTGTAAAGATGATTTAAAAAAATTAGAGTTTGGAAAGAATGAAGATTTTTTGCTAAGGGTCCCGTTTGAGGCCTAGCAATTATGGCAGCCCTAAAACAAAGCCATCAGAAAACAAAATTAAGATATAGTATTACACTTCATTGAATATTTCTTGTATAATTATTTATTTAATGTTCCAAAAGCTTTAAGTAATTGATTAAAAGCTTAATTTGATGAATCGTAATCAATAATGTTAGATTCTTAAAATATTAATTTCACCAGCTTTTCTCACAGAACTATGTTACCGATTCATACACAGCCTTAATTCGCAGCATGAATAAAAAATCTGATACCCATACGCCATGTTACACAAATAGTCCTATGTTATAGAAATAGTCGTATATTGGATTGTCTTTAGCACAATAGACTTGAAAATGTATACATATATGAAAAGTGATTAATGATCTAAATCCATAAACAACTTTTTAATATACACACAAATCACGTTTTAATAAATGTACGGAAAAGTAGACAAAAAAATAACCCTGGACACATGCGCCCCACTTTTTTAATTTAAATCTCAAACTTTTTATAATGACTTGTTAAAATTTTTAAATCTACGCCCTCCCTATGTGTCTAGGAATAACTATTTTATACATTTATAAAGTGGTATATTATCAAGTTTATTTTCTTCGTATCTGGTTATAATTGAGCTTTTTAATTTTTTCGATCCATGGTTTTTGTTAGCTAGTGAGTAATACTTTGAAGAACACTAAATAAACAAAAGAAAAATAGCCAAACCTTGTTAGATGTCGCGTTCCTATTTATATTTTCACCGCCGTTCTTATGAACATCTTTTTTTAGAATTGTTATAAACGGAATAATTTTTATAGAAATCTTTCATTTATTTGAAGATGTTGATTAACCAAATTATTTGGCAAATTCATAATATTTATTTTGCATTTATAGATTGAACGCATCTTCGAACCGAAGTGTACCTCAGGCTGACAATAATATGCTTAATAGTTCTCGAAGAACGTGGACGTGCTCAAAATGCTCCTATGCATATAATCGCATTTGGACAGACAGTTGTGAGATTTGCGAGTCAATTCGTAGTCAACCAACAGCGGAGCAGCCCAGTCTAATAACAGTAACCAAACTGGAAACCTCAGTAACAGCTAGTGGTAAGTCAGTACATCCCCTGCAAACCAAAGTTCCCAAAATCTGATCGAGATCTTTAACGAGTATCGGAGGTGTGTTCCGAATTCTGTAACGATTTATTCACGAATCTCCAAAGACAATCATATGAAGTGGTTGACACGGGCTCGTAAAGAAATTTCTGTACGATTTCTTAAAGAAACTTCGGAAAAATTCTTCATTGCTTTACCGATATTCTTTCGCAAAAGAATCTAAGTGTGCACACCGAAACTATTACACTACTATGATTAGGAGCTTAATATGCGGAGTGCCTTAGTCTACTTCAAATACACTTTCGACAGCCCTAAAAGGAGTTGCCTATAGGCCTCGGGGTTGTCACCAAACGGTGTTTCATACAGGGCGACTCTTTCTCGTGATTTCTTTATTCTGATGTCAGTCACCGACTTAGCTCTGACGTGTTCGGACGTTCTTTTCTTCCGGTCTGCTATGAGAGAGATATCTTATTTTCCACATTTTGGGTATACCTATTTCGTTACTCTGTGATGCTTCTAGTGATTCCCAAAATCCAGTGAACAAATTCAGTCCTAAGTGATTGTGAAAATAGTGTATACATTGCCCCTTGGGGCTTCACAACCTATAGGTTTGCCCTACTTTCCCCTAGCCCTCAGACAAAACGAAAAAAAAACTAATAAATCCCAAAGATCCTTTCCTGAACTACCACCTATTGATTTTTCAAAAACCGATGATCCTAAATTTATAGTCATCAATTCACAAGATGAAAAAAGCCACTCTCTCACTTCTCATGCTTCGCTATTCACAAAGCTATTTTAGCTATCAGCAAAGATGTAAGTACCATAACTGAACTGCGAGACGAAAGCCTTCTTCTCCTTGTTACAAATAAAAAAACTGCTGAGAAATTCATAAAGGCAAAAACCCTTTCTTCCATCTTTCAAATCTCTGCTAAATATCACGAGCACCTCAATTGCGTGAAAGGTACCATTTTTGCACCCTTTCTCTATCACGTACCAGATAACGAAATTATTATTATTATTATTATTATGGGCCATATGCACCGCGACCTCTAAAGTGGTCTATTGTGCGTTGGCCCCCGCCCTATATGGGAAGGCTCTTAATGTAGCCTAGCACCTCCAAGGGCGTTTTGTTCCAAATTTCAAATGGATTAAGGGTAGCGCCACCAAAGTTGGCTAGTCCGCGCCTAGCGAGAGTATCACATTCACAGAGAATGTGTTCTGGCGTTTCTTCGTCCAGCTCACAGAAGCNGTGGGCTAGTCTGCGCCTAGCGAGAGCATCACATTCACAGAGAATGTGTTCTGGCGTTTCTTCGTCCAGCTCACAGAAGCGACAGACGCTTGTTTCTGAAAGATTGATTTTACTGAGGTGGTAACGAAGAGAACAGTGTCCCGTGTAGTACCCGGTGAGAGTTTTGAGGTCCTCTCTGCCTATATTAATTAGTTTCTTTGGAACTTCGTTTGAAGGACAGATAAATCGTTTGGCTTGTCTTTGCCCTGGACATTCCATCCAATGCCTGTTGAACATTTTGTCTACCCAGTTATTTATGGTCCCCTTTATATGTGCTTTGGTGAGCCCACAAAAGGGTTCCGGACCATAAAATACTGCGGCAGCTCCCTGTTTCGCTAGGCAGTCAGCCTCCTCATTGCCATCATGTCCCTCATGCCCTGGTACCCATCCTAATAAAACTGTATTCTTGTCACCAAGAGCATTTAGTACATTTCGGCAATCATATACTAGCTGAGAACTTATTTTGTGGGACTTCAGGGCCAGTAGGGCTGCCTGACTGTCCGACATAATGCAGATATATTTCGTTGACGTTCCCCTTCTAAGACATTCTCTGCCACAAATTTCTATTGCATGAATCTCCGCCTGAAAGATGGTGGGGTAGCTACCCATAGGTATCGATTTTTTAAAGCTCGGCCCAAAAATGCCAGCCCCAGTTTTACCATTTTCAAGCTTAGATCCATCAGTGTACTAAACCTCCCCTTTAGGTTTGGTGTATGGGTGCCCTGTATTCCAGAGAGCTCGATCTGCAATGTGTACCTCAAANTTTGTGGGACTTCAGGGCCAGTAGGGCTGCCTGACTGTCCGACATAATGCAGATATATTTCGATGACGTTCCCCTTCTAAGACATTCTCTGCCACAAATTTCTATTGCATGAATCTCCGCCTGAAAGATGGTGGGGTAGCTACCCATAGGTATCGATTTTTTAAAGCTCGGCCCAAAAATGCCAGCCCCAGTTTTACCATTTTCAAGCTTAGATCCATCAGTGTACTAAACCTCCCCTTTAGGTTTGGTGTATGGGTGCCCTGTATTCCAGAGAGCTCGATCTGCAATGTGTACCTCAAATTTCCTAGAGATTTCTAGTTTTGGAACCATTGCATCGCGCATTTGTAG